GGTGACAACTGGAACAAATTTATTTTGACACCGGATGCAAAAGAATTCAAAACTGAACAAAAATGAGCTGACATCACTTCTGACAGCGACAACGATGAAGATGAACTCGAAATATTGCAAACCTTCGCCTTCGCTTTCGTGGAACATGAAAAATAGAGGGTAGATGGAAAGAAAGAAAGCTTGTATTTAATGTTTTTTAGGTGTTTAATGTTTTTTAGGTGTCAGGACAGGTTCCAAAATTGGGGTTAAACTACTGGAAATTAAGGGCGCGGAATTTAACGCTGCACTTAATTAACGTCGCGGAGATTAACGCTCAACAAAATTAACGCGAATTAAATTAACGCGAATTTTAACGATTCGCGTTAATTTCATGGAGCGTTAATTTCCTATAATAAGGTAGTATCAATTCCTATCCGATATGTGACTCTCTTCTTTAGAGGTCGGCTCGGTTCAGCTTCTCTCCTGTACAGAAATCGAGCCGAAATCACCGTTGTTATGTGTAAACAGAGGCCCTATCCGGTATGCTTTTCTTGCCAATGCAGTGTGAACTTAGCCAAAATCGAAATCTAACAGTCCCGCAATGATCATCCTGCATCCATTCCTCTCGAAGGAAATGTTCGTTTAATAACTGAAGTATGAGCAGGTGCTGTGTTTTATATGAATTAAAAGTTACGTTCGTTCCAATTCATCAGTGGAAATACAAGTACGGTATTAGAACCGGTGCCTCTTGCAATTTCTCCATGCCGGGGTACACTTTCAAAAAAGTCGTTCGTCCGATTTGATATGGCTCGGGACAAAGGACGACTTCGTCGCTCGCTTAGAAACAACTAAAAACTTTTCTCCGCTCCCTTTAACGCGTGAGGTCTACTTGTGGCAAGTCTACATGTAGGCTTTTAATTTAGAAAATATAACGGTGACTCCCTCCCACCCCCCACCATCCCCCAACCCCCTCAGAAAATGATGATGATGATGATGATGGTTTAATTACCTTATCGTAAATTCTGCCGAGCAGTCGAGGAACAGAAGGAAAAATTGTGGGTCTAGAAAGGAGAAATAATTATTTGAATATGTAAAAATGAAGCCTGGCTAGGAGAAAGACAAAGCAGTTTTTGGTAAATCTACCAAAAACTAACAAAGAGTAGAACTTACTTTAGCTCTTGAATGTCTTCCAAGAGAAGCTTTATATCACCTCTAAAGAATCCAACGCGAACTCCAATGACGAAACACATATGCTAAAGAAAAATGTAATAGACGATGGCTGATATATTGAGTTGTTAAAAACACTTGAATTCAGAAAGATACCAACCTCTTTCCCAGGACTTTTTGGCTTCGAAAATGGGCGGGCTTTTTCCTTCCCTTCCATTTTCTAAGGAAAAAGTCCTGGGAACGAGATTGATTGTTGCACCTTTTTTTCTGCGAAAACGTAATTCTGCATATAATTAGGGTCAAACCAAAGCAAATGCCTTAAATATTAAGATAAACGATACTCTATCTTTTCCATTCGTTAAAATACAATCTAATTTGTCTTGGTTTCGGCGAAATATATAGTAAAGAAACACACTAAGGTTGATTAAAAAAACCCTCCTGACCTATTAAAACGTTTTATCTCCGAAACTGAAAAAAAGAGGAACATTATTACTCGTCTGCTTAGCTGGCAGTTTTGTCGGGAAGTGTGGACGGAAGGGAGGGCGAGCGAGCGAGCGAGCGAGCGAGCAGCGAAACCGCGACTTTGCTGCACATTTTCGTGGCTTCACCGTGCGCTCGCCGCAAGCGCTCGGTCCTCCCCAGCAAAATGGCCGCGGCTACGAATGCTTTTAGGACAATTACACGTGGACGTTATCTTACTACAACTACCATAATCCCTCAGTTTGTTGTGTTTTTGTGCAAATTAGAGCTATTGTTTTTTATACCTCAGCAGGATTGACAAATATAGATAAGAAAGCAAAAAAAAAAAAACAAATTAATGGGCCTTTTTCAAAAATACCATAATAATCTTTGTTGTCCCTCTAAAATTTTGCATAAACATTGTTTATTGTCAGTTTCTCTTAGGACTCACAATCGCCACAAGAGAAATTGAAAACAATGCTTATGCAAATTTTTGGAGGTACAACGAAGAATATTATGGTATTTTTAAAAAGGCCTATTTGTAGCCAAATGTCGTCATCAACAGCCGTTAAAATGGCTGCGGATTAAATGTTGGTTAGACAAATATAATAAAGAGTTTGTACCTCAGCCAATCGCTCATAACTATGAGCAAGAGGAAGATAAGAGATCAAGCAATCTTCTGGAGTTATTTCAAGGCCGGCCTGTAATGAAAGAAGCAAGTGTATCGTGCATTTGAAGGGTAAATATGTAGTATTCATTCGATTGCAAAAATGTTGTCATTTAAAAAGGCATAATTCATATGCGATGGGACCAAGGGGCTCTCTAGGAAGTGCTCATACATTAATTTACTTGCGTTATCGTATAAAACGCATATTTATAGTAGTCTGTGGATGCAGCCGTCTCTGACTCGTTCCCAGTCGTCTCGCGCTTCCTTTGATCGCGCTTCCCTCGCTAGAAGACTGAGAGACCGCTGTATTTGCAAGCTGTGTGTACATTGTAGGGGCTGTATGGCTTTGGTATTGTTGAAACTGCGGTTTTTTCTGCACTCTGCAAAAAGATTTCTGCGAAAACATGTGCGCAAGGGTGTGATTATCGCCAAGAAAAGTAGAACAAGTTCTTTTGACCTTGTTAGAATTTATCAGGACAAGGAACTCGTGATAATGAAGGGTTTTGTAAACAGGATTTTGAATTTGCAATTATCATTATACCAATATATCCAATAGATCTCATCGTTAAAAGCGTATACTTTTCAAGTGACAATTTTTTTGCGATATTTTACATTGAGTTTCATCAAACATTTACTATGTTTTTAGACCAAGGCAAAACGTCGAAACTTTTCATGAGACGAACCAGAGCGGATGAGATTCGTGAAAAAGTCGATGTCTCTCTTAATTAGGTTGGTGTGAATGAGTTTGGAT